TAATTTAACGTTCTGCAGCTCCTCAACTTTGGCCCGTCTTGACTGAATGTGCAATGGAAATAGAAGATTTATAACTCCTGCAGGAGTCACTAATCACCGGAGACGAGGGGCTTTGGAGGGGGGAGGGGGTGGAAGAGCAGAGGCAGGCTTCATGAGTGTCCATGAGGGTCTGAGTGCTTCTGACTCGTCCCCCCCCCTTGCAGGTACACACACGCAAGCTAGCACACATGCAAAAACACACAAACACGTGCTCCTTGTGCGTCTCCCTCAACACAACGGCCGTCTTGGGAGGATGTGCAGAAAGATACCACAGCCACACCCGCCCTCCCCCTCTACTCCCCCCTCGCATGTGTGAGAGGCTGAAAACAGACCCACCAACACAGAGCAGCCATAACACAGAAATGGATTTGCAGGTGGACTAAAATAACACTAAAGGATGAAAAGAAAGAGAGGATGTGTGTGTCCACTTTATCCCAGTAACTGGATGAAGGATTGCAGAGAGGAGGGCAGGGGGCATGAGGAGGGGTCGGCTGGGGGGGGTGGGGGGGGGCAGCAGTCTCGGTACATCCGGTTGCTCCTGGGTCCATTTCATTTGACAAAACCCAGCGAGCGTCGGCCTCTTTGCAGCCCACGGCGGGGTGAGACGGACAAGCTCAGGACAGACTCTTTCCGTCAAATCTGAAAAGATAAAACAAAATCACTAGAGGGAGAGTCTAAGCAGAGGTTTTTTACTTTCTCACAACCCCCGAACCCCCACAATATTATCCCGTCATGATGTTATCGTAACTCTGTCTATCCAGCAGCAGCGTCCTTCCATGTCAGCCAATCCTTGAGCTCTTTGATGTGACCAACAAGCTAACGGCGTGCAGATGGGGCTCAGAGTGCAGAGGGCCCCCGGTAGGAGAACGACATGCTTTAATTTCTACAGTCGCCTCTTGCGGAGCTGACCTTCACACCTCCGGCGATCCATCAAGATCTTTTTCCCGCCAAGAGCAGCTGGAGGTGAAGCAGAGCACTTCTTTCTTTTGTTTTTTTTCAAAATAAAGGTCTGGTGGGAGAGCAGGTGAACGTGCAGCGCTTTGTTGCTGTATGGCAAAGTAAATACCCTTGAAAATGAGATCTCGATCTCAATGGGACTTTTACCTGGTTAAATAAAGGTTAAATAAATTAAAAAATATATATATATCAACAATATTTTTTCATTTTTCATTATTCACAAAAGGTTTCAGATTTTGAGAAGAAATAAAGCGCTGCATCTAACGTCCTTTTTCTGACGCATTTGGCATTATACAAAGTGAAATGACTCTCGTTTTTCATAAATCCAGATGAGTCACAACTGGAAACGTGTTTAAAAATGGAAACCGCGGTGTAGGGCAGCTGCTGATGTAATGTGAAAAAATAAATAAAAGTACGCCACTCTTGTTGAGCTCTGTGCCGGTGGCGTGTTCAGCTTTAAATCAGGCTTCTTGCCGAATTCTCCACTAACCTGCGCTTTTAGAGGCAATGGCCTCAGTGAACTGAAAGCTTGTTTTAAAGAAAATCCCCCTCGAGTGTCGAGTGCGAAGTCACCGGGCGAATGCTTCCCTGTTGCTCTTTGCCCACAGAGACGGTTATTTTAAAGCCAGAGCGAGTTAATCCAAGAATGTTTCCCGCAGCTGAATCCACGTTCATAACCAGAGCTCGGGAGACATTAGCGCGCCGCCTCTCGTACTTCTGCTTGTAAATCAATTCGTCCTGAATCAATACAAAAACAGACCCAGTTGTGCGCAGTGAAAGGGAGACGCGCGTTCTCTCGGGTGCTTTGGGATAGTCGAACATCCTACAATGACAACACCGCCGATTAAATCTAATCCATAAATTTGGCCACCCGATGCGACTTTAAAAAGGGAACTCGACGGTGGAAGAACAACATTCCAGCTTCATTAGTTTACACTGCTGATATTAATACGATCATTACAGTCGGACAGGGTTTATTTTGACTACTATTACCACTAATACAATAATAGACCCTAATAGAGGCTGAGGGAAGGGGAGAGGAAGGTGGGTGGGGGGGGGGCAGAGGATTGACTCGGAGTCGTTTCACCCCCAGCAGCTGCAGCAGGGGCCCAGAGGTCAGACGTACAGTAACACTTGACCCCGACTGTGTGTGTGTGTGTGTGTGTGTGCGTGGACTAGGCGATCCCCGCCCTGCCTCCCGAAGCGCCGTCCCTGCAGACCAGCAGAACGAGGGCAGTAACCTCTGAAGGCTTTGTTTGGTTGGCCGGAGCCTGAGCATAGGCCCGCCATTGTAAGTCTGGGGACTCCTTTGCTCCAGCTCTTGTTTTCTTTGGGAAGCAGGAAATTGGATGACTGGCTACCTGCTACAACAACATCCTGTACTTGAGAAGCCGTCTTTTCACCCATACCCACCTATTATTTCCCTTTTCCATCATACGCAAGTGGTTGGCCGGCAAGCTTTTTTTTTTTTTTCCTTCTTCTTCTTCTGGTCCTGGGGGCCCCCTGTGCGTGGGTTTGTCTCGGTTCCACTCAGGTTGAGATCAAATTGGCCCCATCCAGATGCTTCCGTTGAAAATAGCGCAGCCAGGGCCAAACCCCCTCCTCCCCCCCTACCCCCCTCACCCGACTCCACCTTGTCAGGTTAACGGCCCTTTGTGAGCTGACCGGATTGACAGTGATGGTGTGCAAAAGTGAACGTTCCTATTCAAGCACACACACGCGCACGCACGCACGCACACATCTACGTACAGCTTTGTCGGGGCTTGTCAGGTCACTGCAGCGATCACAGAGATCTGAGCGGGTCTGCCAGAGACCGCTCGCCGCTATGACAACATTCTTGAGGATCACGGCGCTGCAGACGGGATCTGGTCGGCACGCTGACGAGAGCCCCGATTGCGATCCGACCTCTGGGACCTCCGACCTTCCGTGCGAGATATTAAGCTAGATAACCGCGGGAGGGGGGGGGGTTTCGTGTAGAGCTAGGTGTCACCAAACGCTCCTTTTGCACATGCAGGCCCCGCCCCGGCCTCCTCGTGAGGAGGTCCTGTCGCGAGGTACTGACGGCCATGTCAGTAGCGATTGCCGTGTCGCCCACACTTAAACTAACGGTGGTTTGGAGGCAGCATGTGGAGGAGTTTGGCTCCGGCTCGTTCCTCTGACAGATGCTGCCGAGGGTTTGTCAGCATGTCGGAGAGTTTCCACCCGCGGATCGCACACAACTCTCTCTTTCTCAGCCAGTTTTGTTAACGGCGTCGACCTAAAAGTTTCCACGTGAAACAAACACTTTTTGGTGATTGGGAGATTCTGGGAGTCTTCTGAAGCACGTTGTAAGATTTTCATTGTTGATTTTCCCAAAAATTGACAAGCTCCCGAAACAGCTTAAGACAGCATTGGCTGATTGTTTTGGCCAATTAAGGGAAGCAGCCTCCCTTTAAAGGGAATAACAGTTATTGACACAACGAGCAGAGCAACACTATCGTTGACTTAGTCGGGTTTGGGTTGGACTTTGCTCTTCACTAACCGGAGGAAATATAAATGTCTTTTTGGATGCTAAAATGTTCGTCTGTATTCATCAGCTAAATGAAGGTTGGTGCTAAGAAGGTTTTTCGCTGAGTTAATCTGAGGCTTTTCACTGAATGCAGTTGCCTGCCTAAAGACGAGCTGGGTGAGAGCCGGCAGAATGAAACACAGTCGGGTGATCGTCCTCTGTGGGTCACCACGATCGACCTCTTTGACATTAGTCATTTTATCCATTGTTTGTACAGATAATTTGCAGCTTTAATGTCATTTGTCGTGTTTACGTTGCATGTTGTGCCTCTGGCACAGGAAGATGACATCATCATTCTCAAACACACCTACAAAGCTCTGATTGTTTTTTTCATTTTTTCACAAGCAGCATATATCTCCAGAGACCGGCAAAAATATGCTTTCATGCTGAAAATGACATGTACACGGAAGCATATTAAGGATTTATTACTTTGATGTCAGCTGCCAACATGGAGAGGAATCCTCATTTATGCTTTTGGTAGCGTCTGTAGTGTCCGACCTGCAGAGCTCCGTGGGATGAAAGCGTCAGAACACAATGCGCACATGCAGCTACGGCACACAATGCGCACATGCAGCTACGGCACACAATGCGCACATGCAGCTACAGCACACAATGCGCACATGCAGCTACGGCACACAATGCGCACATGCAGCTACAGCACACAATGGTCACATGCAGCTACAGCACACAATGCGCACATGCAGCTATGGCACACAATGCGCACATGCAGCTATGGCACACAATGGTCACATGCAGCTACATCACACAATGGTCACATGCAGCTACAGCACACAACATAACTCAATTGCTGCATGGTGGAAGAACCCATCAAGATATTTTTTTCCCATCATTTACGGCGGATGATTTATTATATTTTCAGAAACAGGCAACATCGGTGTTCAATAACATTCAACATGTATAAAAAAAAAAGAATAGTTATAAAAAACAAAATAGCCTGACAGATTAGAAAAGAAAACAATATTCTAGGAAAGAGGAAACTGACAATGAAGCAAAAGTCTCTGAGGCACTTAATGCCTTTGCAACACTTTTTCCCAGTTGCTCGTAATCAAGCGTCAAAAGGCCAAGATTACAATATTGGAACCGAAGGAGACGCTCTCACACCATCGCACCACGGCCTCAAAGCTGCTCTACAATGACCACAGGTATGATCTCCAATATTTAAAAAAACAACGAGGCGGCCTCTTGCACGCAGTATTTCAAAGTGTATCGAAGGGCAGTTCATTGCGGGCAAAAACAGCAGAGAAGATGCTCGCTGATTTCTTCCCGCGTGATGAGAAGAGAGTCCTTTGATTCCTGCAGCTTCTCCTCAGCCGTGCGAGTGAAGGACGCTTCACTGCTGCGCTGGTGTCCAGTTGACACGAGTCTCTCATCCTCGTCATCTTCTTTTTCATTACACCGTCAATCCCCCCCCACCCCCCCCCTCCCACCTCCGCCTCCTCCCCACCCTCCCCCGCTTGTTTCTTCTCCGTTCATTCAGAGCTGGGTGAAGCCGCCGAGTCGACGTCGTCGTTCTCCGGGTCGTTGGGCGAAGACGACTGTCCTCCCTTCACTCTCTTCCACTTCATCCGCCGGTTCTGGAACCACACTTTCACCTGAAATGTTATCGATAGATTGATTAGTGGAGCCACATGCAGCCAAGAAAATGCATCTGCAACTTTTATATTATAACTACATATACTGTATATTTTGGTTTTGGAATTTCAAATAAAGCAATCAAGTTTCTGACAAGTTTTGATGCTTTATTGATCCCCAGAGGGGAAAAATGTGTTGTTGCTGAGGTACAAGGACCGAAATAAACAATTATGTGGAGAAGGTAGAAAGGAAACAAGAGGAATACAAAACTATAATAAATATGGAAGTAAAAGTAGAAACTATACAAGAGCAATTCAAAGTACTTTTTTTCTATAAAAACTACAACAATATATATTTGAGTGTTGATATTAAGTCTTTAAGTGTATAACCATTAAATGTGAAAATAATTGTCAGATGAATCATTAAATCAAAACAGTAATTAGTTCCACTTGTAAAAGTTATTGTATTATATTACTAAAAATGACTGTGTACTAAGCACACCGCAGCAGGAGTTAAATCAATAACAATCTATTCAAGATAACACTAAAAAGTTTCCGAATTATTCCACCATATTTGGTAACTCGTAACACGATCACTGTGGCTTTTCTCGCAAACGTACAACGCGGTCAGCGGAAAAATAGACAAATAACCCCCCCACGTCTCCCAGTGCAGCTCAGCTGCTCAGTTCGCCCCTCGCGGATTGTCGGTACAAAGCGATCGTTTCTGGCTCATGAAAGCCCTGCGAATGCAGGCGCAGAGTCTAACGTGCACCGCCGGGACGTCGGCCTCCACAGGATGTGAGTCTACAGTGCGGATTGTGCTCATCTGTGACACCGCGGCGCTCTGAAATGTGGATGATATCAGGCTTCAGCTGCGCGGCCAACAATAGCAGCACAAACACACGCTTCCTGAAATCACAGGGAGAATACGGGAGGGGAAGAAAAAAAAAAAAAACCAAAGGGGCAGACGTCTGTGATTGAAAACGTTCTCTTAAGATTTTATTAGTTGACGGTAAAATGCGGTGACGGATTGGAGGAAATGTCAAAATAAATGTGGGGCTGGTTTGAGCAACAGATGAAGTGATTAAGCTGAGAATGAGGTACAAATTATGCTGCTGTTATTCTGTATTAACGGTTCAATTAACAAATCCCATAAGAGCAACAATTAGTCCAAGTATTAAAACATCTGTGGCACTCGAGTTCTTCCCAAAGAGGAAAGAGTCTTTTCTAATTCTAAAAGCAGGACGTTGTATCTGGGATTCGTTTCAAATAAAACCACAGTGTGATAAACTACATGTTCATCACACTGAAGGAACTCGTCACCCAAAGATGGAACCCGGCTGTGCGAGTGTGTCCCCCCGAACCGCCGCCTCCAAAAGCGCGCGTGTGTGTGTGTATAAACGTGTGCGTGTCTGGGAAGTAGATTTAGGCAGCAGGCGGCAGTATGTGTGGTCACCGTGGCCTCGTCAGAAAGGAGTCGGGACACCGGGGCCCCGACGGACGGGCTGAGGTTTCATCCACATGTTGGCCCTATTTCCCCGAGTCTGGCTAAGCTCATCGAAGCCGGATGTCATTCTGCTCCAACCACGGCACGGAAAATAAACCCGCTAAATGCGCGCGTGTGCATGAATGAAGGCTTATTCCGCTGGAAAAGTATGACTAATTAGAAAAAAAGGTCATCAGCGCTGCATTTGCCCGCGGCCCACCTGTCTCTCTGTGAGGTCCAGGTTAACGGCGATCTCGTAGCGCCGCAGCCTGGTCAGGTAGTTGTGGTGGGTGAACTCGGCCTCCAGCTCCCTCAGCTGCTCCTTGGTGAAGGCCGTGCGCTCTTTGCGGGCCTTGCAGCTGGAGTCGGCCTTAAAACTGGAGTCCTGGATGTCTGCGGGGAGAGAGGAGATGCATTTTCACGCGGGTCAAGGAGTGCGTTTCTTCTTCCTTCCGCAAGGCTGCTTTGCTGATAAAAGGGACAAACTCTCAGCGCTGTTTCTTTGTACTTCCCCCCCCCCCCCATCAAATACGGAAAATCACGTTGGATCGGTCTCTCGTTGGCTATTAAACAGACCTCAAGGACCTTTTCGACCAACAAACCACAACTCCAAAAAGCTCTTTACGGGGAGGCCCCTCGTATAGTAAACACCCAAACCTTTAAAAGGAGACCACCGTGACCCGAGCTTACACGAGTCAGGTTCACCTGCAGCGAGGCTCCGCGTGCATTCCTGCATCGGCCTGCGTGCATCACACCTTTGTTTGTTTGTTTGCAGACTCTGGCGGGAATCCAGGCATCGGAGTTTGCACTCGTGGCGTGTGAGAGAGAGAGAGAGAGAGAGAGGGCAGAGCGCACACACCGGCCACAGAGGGGCCGAGTTAAGAGAGGAATGCGGCGGAACATCGTTAAAGCCTCCAACAAAAGAACAAAGGTGCGGATGTGTCCAGGTCCGACCGTGTGTTCGTGCGCGTGTGATTGTGCGAGCGTGACAGGGGGAGATTTCACTCCAGAGCAGATCCACATTAACTCGTCTCGACGTGACAGTGAACGCGTCAGGACCAAGATATCTCCATGGAAGGAGCCGCGCTGACCTCGCTTCCACTGATGACCCGAGCTCTCGTAGGCAAACAGTTCATTGCTGAGATGCCTTCATATTTCCGTTAAAATGTTAAAACCTCTTTGACCAGGATAACTATCAATGAGCGCTGGTTCATTTAACTTCAGGTAAAACCCCTTTGTGTATTAAAAAGGAAAAATGGCTTTTCGGTGCAAGAGTTGAGTAGCGGCTGACGTAATCTCTAGAAAGTGGCTCTAATTTGTCAAAGGGAGAAGTTGTGCTCGGTGCTCGCCAGAGCAGCGGGGCAGGAGGTGAAGCGCACGGCTTTACCCGGGCCAGATGTGACCGGGCAGACCGGGAGACATTTGTATGCGAAACGCCTGACGTGTGTGTGTGTGTGTGTGTGTTGGAATACCAGTGTGTCGTGCCCCAAAAAAAGCGAGTGCCCTGAGTGCGTCGGGTCTGCTGAGGAGCAGGTCTCCGTGGGCTGAACACCTGGCTGGGGGCACAAACTGGTTCCCACTCAAAAGGCCCCCCAATAAATATCCCGCACAGCCAGAGGCCGTAAACCTGCAGGGAGAAGGCTTCTGCCCCCAGCGGGAGGCCACAGACAAACAGCATTTGGTGCCTCTCTCTCTCTCTCTCTTTAAAGGAGTTTGTTCAGTTGGTGATTGTTTTCAATCACAAAGCGCAGGTGAAAATTAACCGCTTAATTTGTGGCTGTAAAAGTGGACGTCGGGATGCTTTGTTGGTCAAAGTTTATCAAAAACCGTCAATTAATAAACGTGTTATAACACATTAGTGTAATAATAAACAGATTTAAGGACCCGTTTAAGTGCTAATTAATGTAAATAGAGGGGCAACATGAATGATTTGTAAAAAAACAAAGTACACTGTACGTACACTACGCTGTATAACGTCAGTTGCTGCATGCTACTATATATTAGTTTAGTGACAAATACATAAACATTTGATTATATAGCCACATAATCTCGTTTTTACAAAGGCTTTGTATTTTTAAGTGTCAATGTTGTATGTAAATATTTATCAGGTAAAAATGGCTTTTTCCTACTTTTTAATTCTGGACAACTCCTCGATTGTTAAGGAATTACAAACAAATCAGTTTATTGAAAATGATGGAAATATTTAAATGACAGTGTTTATAACAATGCCCCTGTTTTACATGATGCGCTAATATAAAATGAACTATCGGCCCGACTCCGATACCAGCTGGAGTTTTAGGATTTTGGAAGCACTTCTCCGTATGAACACTCACGGACACAAGCGGCCTGTATAGCGGCTTTGTCCGTACGGTGAAAAGCCTTGGGGGCTTTTCCTGATATACGTGCTCCTCTGGTCGGACATGCTGCACGTACTCGGTGGGAGATTGTGTTACTGCTTAACGACAGGAAAATGTCAATGGATAAGAATGCAAAAAGTGGTTTTACCAGACGTGGTCTGGCATGTTTTCAGCGTAGTGAGTGGAGGTTACAATAAGGTAAGAAGGGGGGGGGGGGGTCTTTGCTTCCCCCACCATCCTTTTCAATTAGGCTGTTGCAGACATGGCTCATGTCTTTTTTTTTCTTCTTTGGTGCTTTTTAGAATCCGATATGGTTTGTTAGTTTTGGGCAAGAGATGATCACGATGATGCATTCAATGACAACAGGTTGATGTGAGGCGTCCACGTGCACTGACGTAAACATTAAGGTTTGTAAATGCTAAACTCACACAAGAGCCACAGCTCCTATTGATGCTTGAGCTCAACGTTTTTCCAGAGAATAAATGCATTTCTCCAGAGAACCTGTTGCCAATAATTATTGCAAGATTTTTTTTCTTATCAGCATCAGAAGAAAAAAAGTTCTTCTAACTGCATAAATCCTCATCATCTTTGAGAGGGAAACCGTGTACAAAGCTGACCTTTCTCTTCAGTTAGCAAATGTTTTTTTCCACAGTTCCAGATGTGTAGGAAGTGGATTTATCTTTTACTCGGCCTGGGAGTAACTCTGCACATTAAAACGTTTGCACCTTCAGTGTATAAACATTTGCTTTAGTCCGTCGCGCTGGTCGTTAATGTGTCACGTGTGTGAAACTTTTTAGGAATTAGTTTGTCATGGATATAGATTACTTTTGCTTCCTATTAGCAAGTGTGACATGTGATAGAGGGGAACAAATTGTGCTATAACCCAAAAGCATTAAAGCATTTCAGTTATTATATAACTCCACTCAGGAAACATGGAGTAGAGGTTGTGCTGGAAATAGTATGCAAAAAATGTCATGTTTTGGATTAATGGTATTTGGTGAAGCAGCTGAGAAGTATTTGAACATTTTCACTTTTTAATAGTTTTAGGGGAAAAGTCCAATAAATTAACAATTCACTAAAATGTGTGGCTGAATTGAATCCGCTTTTGTGATTTTAATCTATGATACATTTTTATAAAGCTGTCTGAATCACCTATGATGCCCGAAAGCGTTTTTCCCAACAGAAGCCTGACGTAATTTATTTCCTGACTGTGGCCCCTACAGTGGCCTTTTTCCAACGGATACCGGAGCGCAATGAAACGCGCACGTGTCCCGTTAATCACTGCAGCCTTTTGAACAATAAGAGGATGCGACTGCGGCTCGAAGTGCGCGTCCTCGACACAGAAGTCTCGTCACCTACTCACCTTTCACATGGCGATCTGCTGAGAGCGCCGCTGTCAGGGCCAGTTCAGGAGGAAATGTATTTATGTCTCTGCCAGCTGTGAGAGGATAAGAGGTTCTTAACCTCGACGTACCTTTTCTACACCTGTGTGTGGGGCTGTCCCGGGATAACCATTTTTAATTCTCAGCTGCTGTGTCCTTCCTACTCTTTTCTTTATGTTTCCACCGTATGCAAAAGACTCCCACATGTGCATTTCATTACTGCACGTTGCCCTTTTCTCAGCCTCCCGTGACGAGTCTCTGGATGCCCTGAAACCCGACCGGCGGCCCCACCCGTCCCGGTGCCACTCACCTGTGACGTCCCTCTTCCTCTTGTTGGAGCCCTTCTTGTCGGAGTCGGCCGACGCCGCGCTCTGAGGCGAGTAGTCTCCGTCCAGGCAGCCCGGCCCGGCCCCCGGGAGCCTGTCTCCCCCTGCGCTGTCCAGCTCGGACCCCGCGCCGACGGCGGGCCCGACGACGGCCGCGCAGGCCTCGGGCGCCCTGGCCCGCGCCTCGCAAGGGTTGAACTGCCACTCGGCCCGCTGGTAGGCGCCCGGGCTCTCCTGGTACTGTCTGTCGTCGCGCGGGTAGGCGGCGTGCGGCGCCGTCGGCACCAGGCAGGAGCTGGAGAAGTCCGTGTAGGCCAGGAAGTCGGGCTTCTGGTGGAGGGCGAAAGGGGCCTGCTGGTACGGCGACTGCAGGTTGGCCCCCGAGTGAGGGTTCCTCATGCAGCCCCAGATGGGGCTGCCGGGGTGGGCGCTGCGCATGCAGCTGCTGGCTGGCTGATCCATGACGGGGTCGGAAAAAAGGAAATCACGCGACCTTTAATCAACGTCTTACTGCGAGAACTTGCAGAGGAGTCGGAACCCCCCACCCCCCACACCCCTCTGCCCGGCCCGCCTCTCCCCCACCCGCCTCTGAGAGAGAGAGCGTGAGGACTGTGAATCTGTAGCGCTCTCGATGAAACGTCCACTTCGGCCGACTAAATGCACATCACCGTCTCGCTGCATCCACCTCCGCTACGGTTGACTCTTCCACAGACGGCGTGTTGTCTCCGTAGTGAGTGTGAGTGAGTGTGTGTGTGTGTGTGAGACGTCCTCTGCAGCCTGCCGTCCTCACACTCCCCCCTCTGCCGTCCTGCGCTCACACGCACCCTGCTTCTGCCCCGACTGGCTTGTGGCTCGACGGGAAGCGCTGCATCCCGCAACTGCATGACTCCCCTCCCGGCGCTGGCTGTTTTCACAACTCTTCTAAGGCATTCTTGACGAGCAAGAGCCCTCCTCCTTTTCAAACGTGGAGGTGGGAAAGAGTGGCGAGTTTATGGAGCGTAACCCGAGAGCGCGGAGGAGGAGCCCCCGACCGGCCACATGTTGGTAGTACCCCTCCAACCAACCCGGCCTCATCAACTATTAATCACGCCGGGGGAAATTTTATACGCACATCTAATGGGCTTTCCAGACGCGGGGCTTTTTAAAGGGACATTGTCTGTAAATATGAAGCGAGCAGCCACCCACACGAGCGCTGAGGACCCCGACTTACTTCAGCTCCTTAGCGCTTTCTGACACCCAATTTAGTTCCCTTTTCTGACACCCTTTAGAGGAAAGTTGACCCCGACCCTTTTCCCTGTGCACCCCTGATCCCCACCTGTCCTCCCCAATCTGAAACCTTTTTTTCCTTTCTTGCTTTTTATGACTGTGTGCGAGTGCTCACATCAGTGCTGCACACGAGGCCACCTGGCTGTACTTTCTGTAACTGGGAGGTGAAAGAGGGACTGGGTTTGATACCGGCTGCTCACACCTCCTGAGGTTTTCTCACACCAGCGAAACACAATATGAAATTTCAGAGCCACATTTCAAAGACACCAGCTAATGTTTTCTTCTTTGCCCTTCGCGCGTGACGTCGATCGCATGTGAATTCACCGCATTCGCGTCGATGGAGACGTGATTCTCTGATCGCCGATTTTTTGATCTGCGCAGGGCTCCTCACGACAGACGCCACTTCCCCGCATGAAGTAATGTCTCTAATACCATTAAAACCTTCTTGGGCTTAACCAAAATTTGGACTCAATTTCGGCGTATCCGTTACCCAGTAAACCCAGTGAACCACACTTTACTGAAATGCAGTTTCCCTTCATGCTGCTCATACTTGTGAGCCGAGGTTCGCCTTCCTTGTGTGTCCTCACTTTGCTCCTATGCACTCTCAGATAGGACGGGGGGGGTCAGACCTCCAACGAGAGGAGGGAGAAGGAAAGAACTTAAGATAAAGGCTAGAAGAGAAGAAAGGAGGAGGAAAAACTCAAGATGAAGTGTGCGACTCAGAGGAAATGTAGAATTCATTTACGAAGGAAAAAGTCATTTTAAAAGCTTCTCAAAGAACATTTAAATGAGTGAAAGACAAGAAAAAGAGAAGGGTACGAAATGAAAAGAGAAAAAGTCCGATAGAGAGAGAGAGAGTCAAGCGAGTGTTTGAGGTCGCACACCAAACCCTTTCCATTTACCCAGCGAATTGTTGAGCCATGAAGCATCCCCTCACTTTACTGGCAGCCCGAGCTCGGGCCGCACCGCAGGGAGCAGAGGTTACACTGCATTTGTGGTCAGAGCAGGGGCCATCTGTGTGTCAGGATAAATTAGAGAGCGGGTGTGCAGTAAAAATACACGTCAGTGAGCATGTGTGTGTGTGTGTGTGTGTGTGTGTGTGTGTGTGTGTGTGTGTGTCTCACTATAAGAGCTAACGGTGTTGAAATGAAAGTGATAGGAGAGAAAAGAGTATCCGTCGCTTCACACTCGATCTGCGAGAGCAATGTTGTCAGACGTTTACACAAAAGTCGGAAGAGACGTCAGTTCAGAGCCAAAGAAAAACTCAAATATATATTTATACATGGTCGGATGCTATCGGATGTATCGTGATGTGAATATGTTTACCAAAATAAAGCACAAATGGAGCCATATAGTTTAGTTTTATTATATTATGGACTTCTCCTGATCTTTTTTATATATAATATTTTTCTCACATTGCTGCAAAATGTCTGGTAACAATAGAGGCCTTTACACACCATGGATGCACAAAATTGATGCAATATCATATATAATATATAGCGGTATATATAATATATAGCTACCAACGATAATGTAGTAGCTGCACTTTGTTAACAAAGATTTGCACAGTTTGTGCAGACCAGGATTATTTTGACCCAGATTAGAGTCTCAGTTTCCCTCGTAGCCTCAACTGCTGTAAACTATTTTATTCATTTTAGTGAAATAAATTAAGTTCCTTCTGCTAAACAGCTACCCAGTGTTTTTATCTCTGGGTTTTATTGGGAAAAGTCTGAACGCGCGGAGTTTGATCGGGCCCGTGCTCCCTTTGTCGCGAGTAAAAGGGAGCAATAAAGTTTCTTTGGTTTGAGGAGCTTCCGCAATGTTGCATAATATCGTTTACTCCCTGAATATGTTGTTCCCCAAAAACAAAAATTATGTTGTTCCCATAATATTCACAATCTGTATATTATATACGGTAAACCTCAAATGAATCGCAAGATTAAAAAAAAAAAAACTACGAGAGAACCGGGAAGTGTGTGAACTGTCCGAGGATTCCAGATAAATGAGCTGGACGTGAGTCACATCTCCCTTCATCTTATAGGCAACCTGTTTCTGTCAGTCTTCCACCATGTGTGTGTGCAAGTGTGTGTGTGTGTGTGTGTGTGAGAGAGACGGAGGGTTAAAGTCAGAGTACGAGACAGTGGAGAATAATGAGTAAGAGATGTGTGAATGCGTCTTTTCATCTGATCCATCTTCGTGACCCTGGCAGGATTAGGGAGCTCCATCCGTCTCTTTTGTTTGACAGCGCGACCCCCCGTGACCCCACGTTAACCTGGGTCCTACTGGACTGTGGGAGCCCCCTTATCTCTGCTACTGTCCGGGGGGGATAAGTAAGGAAAGGGGGAAGATGGGAGAAGAGGGAGACAATACAGAAGCAAAGAGACACATTCATTTAAATGCAACATAACAAGGCTTTTTTGGGGGGTAATTGGCTCCACATTCGTGCCACTGGGACGCGTGGTCTGCTGCCCAGCTGACGGGCCGATAAGGAGCCAATAAACACGACTGCTGGTTTCTTTCACTACTGCCGCAGCGGCCAAGAAGCAGATCTGAGCAGCTCCCGTGCAACCGGAGCATGAGGAAGCACCACCGCGCTCAGGAACCCGGGGATAAACAACCAATGTACGAGAAAAACCCTGAAGGGGCTACGGATGAATTCGGAGAGGACAGAAGGGATGCATTAGCCTTTTTCATGCTCTACATTTTGGTATTGTCATTTGATAGTGTCTGTGACATTCGGATGACCTGCTATGTGTTGGGGAAGTTGGGTACCATTGATTTGAGCGGTTGCTTTAATAGTTTTATATATACATACTGTCTCAATCCATTAGAATGTAATGAGATGTTGCAGGTCTCCAGATGTTTGCTAGTTTACGTTCATTAATTCATATTTTAAGAAGTTGTAAAACCTAAATCTTTAGAGAATATGTTCATTTCAGCCACAGAATGTATAGGTATTATAATTTGTTTGTTTTTTCATGTTAAGATAAGATATCACTGTATAACAATATTATCATTATCATTAGTCACAGGGATCATTAAAAGAATTAGAACAGAACTACAGGCCTGTTAAATGAAATCACCTGTAACTCTTGCATGTTATTTAACTAAATCACGTTAGCTAACATGTAAGCAGCAGCGTGGCTAAAGTGAGCAGCTACTAAATGAATAACAACGTCAGCCGAGACCTTTTCCTATTATGATTTCTGACAATGACTAAAAGTACGCAGTACAATAACAGTCGATCCTCACACTTCATCAGACCTTGTTTGCAATGAAACTTCAGAATTTTCTGCATGAACTGCCTTTCATGAGGTGCACTTTAACCGAGGGAAAAACTGAGGAGCGGCTGGAAGTGGGTACTCACGCTCGACCCGTTTCAACAACAATAGGCCGAATGAGCGGCTCCAAGCATCGAGGGACGGGGGGGGGGTCAAACAAGCGGCGTGTACCTCATTCTCCCGTCTGCCAACAGAATTACCGAAAGTCATTAGCCGCGTTGGCGAAGTGATGAACTGCTGCTTTGAAAAATGCGCCGGGTCCTGAGGCTGCGAAGCCAAAAGAGACGAGAAGCTGCCAGAAAACTTAAAAAGCCTGAATAAATTAAAAAGGCAGCCAAGCAAACAAATGAAATGACTGTTAACTGATTAACAAGTGGTGCGTGCACACGCACACAAGCGAGCAGCTAACAGTGATGATTGACCAAAGCAATGTGATGCTTGGCCACCAATCGTTCTGTTGCAAAAACTTTGGCTCGGAGGTTTAAATAAAATATCTGAATGTCTGACCCAGCGACCCATCACGGGAACTGCAGCGGTCCCATCGGTACACCAGGGCGGGGAATAATCCGCAAAATATCTGTTGATTGGGCCTGAAACTATATTGTCTGCTCGGATTACAGCATTTAAATGTGTGAGTGTGTGTATGTGTGTGTTTGTGTGTGCGGGAGGGGGGGGCACACAGGTGCTAATAATCACATATGATCACATGTGATTGGAATCAGATGTTGGCCACAGTTTCTCGGTATTGGGAGGGAATATTACAGCTCTCTGGGGCTTCGGCCTCTCATCGTCTCCCTATTATGAACTTGTTTACCATTTTTCCACAGTCAGGTCCTGCAGACGTTGAAGCCAGATTACACATAGCTGCCTGAGAAACCTGGACTTTGGATCATTCCTAAAAGTAAATGATAGCGAGAGGATGGAGGTCTGAGAGAGAGACTTTTCATCACCGCAGTTCAAGTTTCCGAGATACTTGTTACCCAGAAAGAGGTTAACTTTAAACCTGCAAAGACTGACTCATTGGCCATTTTGATAAAGAAGAAGCACAAACCTGCTAGCGACGGGTTAGCTAACGGCGGATTTGGCACAATATTAGCATTCAGTTTGTGTGAATAAATGAAAACTAAATGTTGACGCCTCCTTCTGCTCTCCAACACCTCTGGAGGGAAACATTGGGCTCCTTTTCCACTAAATGCTCCACTGTGTTTATCTGTGGAACTAAAACCACGAGCTGAAAGACAGCAAAACGCTGCATAGAGAAAAACAAATAGAGCATCTGCAGTTGCAGTCATCTGATCCATTGTTAATATTTATCATAGACACATTTAGTCCTTTTTCACAAATGTAAAGAGGCAGAAATGATCAAACAGACCGTATTATTAGTCCGAATTGCTCCTTGGTCGACAAACAACGTTTGGTAGGTGTGAAG